GCGCCCGCCCGGCCGCCATTATAGAGCTGCGCGCGCGCCCGCTGCGGCGCGGCCACGCCCCCAGCGCCCCGCCCACTGACAGGCCCCCCGGGGTAGGCCACGCCCATTGCCACACCCCCACTTCCTGATTGGCCGCTGGGGGAGAGCGCGCCCCCGCGCGGCGGGGCGGGGGAGGGCGCGCGCGCTCCCGGGCGCGCTCCCGCGAACGCGCTCTATGTCTCGGGCTGCCCGGCTTCGTTCCCCCCCAATCTCCTCATCCCCGCCTTTGTGCCCACCACCAGTGCTCCGCTTAATTAATTAATTAGTTTATATATCATATATATCCATATATGTATTTATCTTGTTTGGTTTTAGGACAAAAATGAGCGTGGCCTGGACCTGGCTGCCCTTCCTTGAGGGCTGCAAACTCGAGAGGGTTGCAGATTAAATGGATTGCAAACGCAATTTGAAGCATTTGCAAATTAAGGTGCTTGCAAGCTGAAGGGGTTGCAAGTTAAGGGGGTTGCGGGCTAGCGGGGTTGCAGCTTGGCGGGGGTTTCACGCCGCCGTGGTGCTGCGAGCGTGCCCGCTCACACCAGAGCCGCGCGTTTGCTTCACCCCGGCTCCAAACACACACAGACATTGGCTTTGGCCACCCCGGCTCGTGGGGATCTGCGTTCCCACAGCACCGGAGGGCGCGTGGCCATTGCGGATCCAGGACGTGGGAACAGCGCCGGGGATGCAGAGCTCTTGGGCACCGCACTCTGCAGTGCACCTCACTGCGGCAGCTCTTCCCAGCGGCAGGAGCCTCCCTTTCCCCTCCCCTTTCCCCATATTAATTACTAATCAGCCCAGAGATGATTAGCGCCTCCGAGTCTTCCCTGATCTGCCCAAGCCAATTAGGAGCCACCGAGCCCGTGGCCAGCCAGCGGCTCCCGGAAGCTGATTAGGTTATTCCCAGCCCGGCCAGTGCCGCGGATCCCCTTAACGCAGGCCAGGAGCAATTAGTTAATTAAAGCCACACCAGGCCCCCTCGGGCCGCGCGCCAGCGTGACCCGCAGCCGCGGTGCTAAAATTAACCTGCTGTCCCCTCCCGACTGCCAATATTTACAGGTCTCCCTGTGCACCGGGCTGGAATTTGGCATAATAACCTGTTTATCGCCCCGGCTCCCAGATGACACCCCAGCATGTGAGCCGGGGGCTTATTTTATCCCAGCCCTGTGCCCGGCCCCAGCAGAAGGGGCCCAACATGCTCCCAGGCTCCCAGCCCTTCTGGGACTGGGCTGTGCAAGCACGGCCACGCTCACCCCAGAAGAGCTGCATTAATGAACTCATGGTGCATTAATTGCCACCCAATGTTTTCCACGCTCCCTCCATTTCTTGGCCTCCATCGGTGCTGCCAGCATTAGGGAAAGTGCTGGGAGCGCTGAGCGGCTTGGGATGGTGGTTGCGCCGGACAGGGCGCGGATGGGCTCCAAACCCTTGTCACTGCATGGGGAAGCAGCGCGTGGCCGGGAGCCCCCGCTCGCGTGACCCTGTTTATGGGCTCCAGTTTCTTTGTCCCCGGAGCAGCCACTTCCCGGGAAGCGAGTGCCCGGACAGACCGTCCCGAGCCCTGTTTACGCCGGCTCCCGCCCGGCCCCTCGATTGCTCACTCCCGTGTGACAGGTGGGAAACTCAACCCGGCTCTGATTTGGGCTCCACGTGACCCCGGAGCCGGTTATAAATAGCAGCGTGTCCGGAGGCGCTGGCAAAAGCCGGCAGCCGAGACACAGGAGCTCGGTGCCCAGGACGAGCAAGGGACACGCTTTGGCCAAGGAGCCTTTGGCCGGCCCCATGGATTACCAGCCCGGCATCATCCGGGACGGCAGCGCCATGGAGAACCTGGAGCGGCAGCTCATCTGCCCCATCTGCCTGGAGATGTTCACCAAGCCCGTGGTGATCCTGCCCTGCCAGCACAACCTGTGCCGCAAATGCGCCAACGACATCTTCCAGGTGAGCGCCGCGCCGGGACGCCGCAGTCCCCTTGGGCTTGGTCCCCGGCAGAGCGGAGCCTCCCATTGCGGGAGGCTGTTTTGGGCACGGTTGTTGGGAGTGACCATCCCATGAGAAGCCTCAGCTCGGTGGGACGCAATGGAGATGCCCTTGGGTGTCACGATGCCCCCAATGTCCCTGTCCGGGGACACTGACGTGGCTGTCCTTGCAGGCTGCCAACCCGTACTGGCAGAGCCGGGGCAGTGTCATCTCGGGCGGCCGCTTCCGATGCCCGTCGTGCCGCCACGAGGTGCTCCTGGACCGGCACGGCGTCTACGGGCTCCAGAGGAACCTGCTTGTGGAGAACATCATCGACATCTACAAGCAGGAGTGCTCCAGGTGAGCGGGTCACTTGTCCCCGGGGAGATTGCACCGTTGCAGGGTCCTCGCCTGACGGGCAGCCCAGATCTCAGCCTTCATCACCTCCCATCCTGAGCTGGGTTTGCCACATAGTCCAGGTCCCAGCTGCAGATAAGGGGTGCGTGGGACAAATCCCAGCTCTGCTGGAGCTAATACGGGATAGAGGGAGCGTTTCAGGAGGGGGGCTGGAAAAAGCTCCAGCTCATGTTGCACAGGGGAAGGGACGTGGGCTGGGGTGAAGGATGGACAGGGGGGTCACTCTTACCGAGGGAGAAGGGACCGAAGCTTTTTCCCAACAAGAAGAAAGGAGGGAGAGCAACGGGAATGCGGGGCAGTCCGGGGGGAACTGGCTCCCCAGCCTGCTGTAAATATTATCTGCCAGCCGTGGGGATGGTGACAGATGTCAGGCGACAAACATCCCCGGCATCGCAGCTCCCGCGGGCAAGGCATGCGCGCCCCCATCGCAGGGTGACTGCGAAGCTCATTGCACCCATGGGTTGAACTGAGGCTCCCCCAGGCTCCTGCTTGAGCATCAGATTGGTGGAAAGAGGGGGGACCTGGCAGGGTGTCACCGTGGCGCGGGCGCCCTCTCCAGCAGGCCCATGCAGAAGGGCGAGCACCCCATGTGCAAGGAGCACGAGGACGAGCGCATCAACATCTACTGCGTCACCTGCGAGGTGCCCACGTGCTCCATGTGCAAGGTGTTCGGCGCCCACAAGGACTGCGAGGTGGCCCCGCTGCAGAGCGTCTTCCAGGGCCAGAAGGTACCGGTGGCAGCAGCCCGGACGCCGGGGCGCGCGGGGCCGGGCAAGGGGGCGGGCAAGGGGGCTCTGCTGAGCTGGGACGGTGCAAATACCTCCGGGAGCTGCTCACGGGGTATTAATAGCGGCCGGCCGCTTTGCCCAGGAGACAGGCTATCTTTAGCGCGTTAGCGGCATGGCGGGAGCCGAGTGGCCCGTGTTGAACCTATTTTTAATCGGTCTCGCCGCTCCTCTTCGCACGCCTCGGTCAGAGTGAGCTGAACAACTGCATCTCCATGCTGGTGGCCGGCAACGACAGGATCCAGACCATCATCAGCCAGCTGGAGGATTCCCAGCGGAGCACCGAGGTGAGGACGCAGCCAGCGGAGCCCACGCGAGCGGCGGGGACCCGACGTGAGCCCCAGCGCTTAACCATGGCCGGGAGGGAGCCGCGGCAGCGGGAGGGTGAATGGGAGGTGCCCCCCAAGGAGCTGGGGTGGGTGGAGGTTCCTCATCCCGCATTCCCGACAGGAGAACAGCCAGGCCGCCGAGCGGGAGCTGTGCGAGAGGTTCAGCGCCCTGGAGGCCGTCCTGGAGGAGAAGAAGTCGGAGCTGCTGCGACGCATCGCAAAGGAGCGGGAGGACAAGACGGGCTTCGTGCAGGCCCTGGTCCACAAGTACAAGGAGCAGCTGGAGAAGTCATCCCGCCTGGTGGAGACGGCCATCCAGGCCATGGAGGAGACCGGCGGCGCCGCCTTCCTCATGGTGAGGCCCTGGGGACGCTCCCCGCGTGCCGGTAGCCTCGGGGACATCCCGGGGCTGCCGGTTCCCGCGGTGGCTGCTCCCGCTCTGCTCGGCTCATCCCTTCTTCCTCTCTCCCTGCAGAACGCCAAGCAGCTCATTAAGACGTAAGTGGCTGAGGCTGGAGAAGTCCCAGGATGCTGCAGCCCCGGGGCCCTCTGCGGAGAGGAGACGGGAATGGGATTTTGGGTGGGCGCCTAATGAGCAAGTTTGGGAGGCCCTGGGCATGGGAATGGGCTGCATCCAAGGATGCAAAACACTGGCCTAGTCCCCAGCTTCCCCCAGACACGCCAGTTTTCCCCCGGAAACTCCTTTTCCACCCTGGGCACCCCGATTTCCCCTGGGCATCCCCATTCCCCTCTTCCCGGAGGCTCCCAGGGGACACGTGCGGGCGCTCCCTCCCCAGGATCGTGGAGGCCTCCAAGGGCGGCCGCCTGGAGAAGATCGAGCAGGGCTTCGAGAACATGGACGGCTTCTCCGTGAACCTGGACCACATCGCCGACGCCGTCCGCACCTTGGACTTCGAGAGAGGTATTTCCATCCCTAAAACCGCTTCGAGGGCTCCCCAAAGCTCCCTTTTGAGGCGGCCTCCTTGAATCCCTGAACTCCTGGACATCCCTGTCCTCCTGGACATCCCTGAATTTCCAATGCCGGCTTGCAGATGAGGAAGAAGACGAGTTCTTTGAGGAGGAGGAAGGAGAGACGGAAGAGTCGCCCCCCTCGCCCCTGCCCGCGGCTCCGCAGTAGCGGCCGCGACGTCTCCGCGGCAGGAGCAGCTCCTCCCCGGTGGCCGCGCCGGAGCCGAGAGCCACTTTTCTATACGGGTGCCCCCAGGACAATTCCGCGCATTTTGTACGGTCTCTTGTTTTGTATATACTTGTAACGGACGGGAATTTTGTGTATTTTGTACAGAAAAGAAAACGATCCCCTTTGGTTCCCTTGCCCCGTGTCGTTTTTGCCTCGCTGGGTGCACTGTGGGCCTGGGGGTGACTCCCAGCCCGCGGTTTCCTTGGACGGAGGCCTCTGGCTCCCGCACCTTGTGGCAGGCCTCGCTAGCACCTCGGCGCGGGTCGGATTTATGTCCCGGGGCCGCGGCGGCCGCTTTGCAGCCGGCCGGGCCTCCCCCTCCCCCTGGCTCGCTCCCGGCTTCCCTTTGCACACGGATCCGCGGCGCTCCACACGGCCGAGCGGGGACGAGGCCACCGGGTGCCACCAGCTCCCGCCGCGCTCCAGCTCGGCCAGCAGCTCCCCGCTCCAGCTCCAGCACCGGTGCGGCCTCCGGCACCGCACGATGGAGGCCGGCGAGGAGAAGCGGCACCTGCTCCACGAAGCCGCCGGCGGGTACAGGGGTGGCTGCAATGGGGGCGGAACTCGGGGACATCCAGGTCCCCCCCCATCCAGGGAGGCCTGTAGTGGCCGGGGAGGGGACAGCTCTGTCCCCAACAGCACCCGCGCCGGCCCCGCAGGTCCTACCTGGGGGTGTCCCCCAAGGCCGGGCACAGCTCGGCGCACGCGGCGGCGCCCGACGCCGTGGAGCTGGGTCCCCAGCGCGGGCGGCACTGCCACGCGCCGCGGGCCGCGGGCGGCCACCGAGGCCAGCGGCGCGCGCGCAGGAAGCTCTACGTGGCCGCCAGCATCTGCCTCGTCTTCATGGTGGGGGAGGCCGTGGGTGAGTGATGGGGCTGGTGGGGGGAGCGGGCGAAGCGCTTTTGGGGAAATTTCCTGGGCTTTTGGGAGCCGGCACTCCGCACAGGCGGCTACCTGGCGCACAGCCTGGCCATCCTCACGGACGCCGCCCACCTCCTCACGGACTTCGCCAGCGTCATGATCAGCCTCTTCGCGCTCTGGGTGTCCTCGCGCCCCGCCACCAAGACCATGAACTTCGGCTGGCACCGCGCAGGTAACGCCCGGGCCCCTCCAACAGTGGGAATGGGGATGGGGATGCGGGAAGCGGCTGTCATGCTCCCAGCATGGCCCATGGAACTGCATTCTGAGGGTGGCAGGATGCTGTTTTGGGGGGAATGGGCACCATTTGGGGCGATTCGGGGCTGCTGAGCTCTCCGCAGAGATCCTGGGGGCCCTGCTCTCCGTGCTCTCCATCTGGGTGGTGACCGGCGTCCTCGTGTACCTGGCGGCCCAGCGCCTGCTCTCGGGCGACTATGACATCCAGGGCGAAGCCATGCTGGTCACCTCGGCCTGCGCCGTGGCCGTCAACGTGGTGTACGTACAGCAGGGGCGCGCGCGGGGGCCGGGACAGTGCGGGGACAACAGCGGGGTGTCACCGCTCGCCCACGGCAGGATGGGGCTGGCCCTGCACCAGACGGGCCACGGGCACAGCCATGGCGAGCAGCCCAGCGCCAGCGTGCGTGCCGCCTTTGTGCACGTGCTCGGGGACCTGCTGCAGAGCCTCGGCGTCCTCGTCGCCTCCTACATCATCTACTTCAAGGTAGGGGTGCCGGGGGCGCCAATCCATCTCCCTGCTCTTTCCGTATGGGAGCGGAAGGGTGGCGGCGCGTGCCGCACAAATCCACCCCGGCCTCCCGTGCTGCCCCTTGCAGCCCGAGTGGAAGTTTGTGGATCCCATCTGCACCTTCCTCTTCTCCGTGCTGGTGCTGGCGACGACGCTGAGCATCCTGCGCGACGTGCTGCTGGTGCTCATGGAGGGTAGGGGCACGCGGCGCTGCCAGGAGGGGGGCACCCTCCGCGGCGCTGCCCCGGCGCAGCTCCCTCCACGTGTGCCCTAGGCACCCCGCGGGGCATGGACTTCAACGCGGTGCGCGAGACGCTGCTGGCCGTGCGCGGCGTGCGGGCGCTGCACAGCCTGCACCTCTGGGCGCTCACGGCCTCGCAGCCGCTGCTCTCCGTCCACGTCGCCATCAGTGAGTGCCGCCTGGGGAGGGGCAGTGCGGATCACCCCCCGCCCCGGCGCGCGGGTGGGGGTCCGGCCGCGCGCCCCAACCCCGCGCCCCTTGCAGCCGAGGACGCGAGCGCGCAGGCGGTGCTGGAGGAGGCGCGCGCCCGGCTGCAGGGCGCCTTCCGCTTCCACACCACCACCATCCAGATCGAGAGCTACTCGGAGGACATGCAGGACTGCCGCGAGTGCCAGTCCCCCCGCGACTGAGCGGCCCCCGCCGCCTCCGCAGGGGTTCATGCTGGAGGAATAAACCAGGGCAAGGCCCGCCGCCGCCTCGTGCTATTTTCACTATTTCTACTGATAGCAGACCTCAAACAAGCTCTTTTTCCCCAGTTTGGGGAGCTTTAGCAGTAGGGGGATGGCTCGGGCAGGAGCGGCCCTGGGTGTAGCACCCGACGCGGGAAGGAGCCCATCTCCCTTCCCCCTGCTCTGCGCCCGGCTCTTATCGCTCCTCTGTTTGCCCTGGGAAAGCTGAAGGCCTCGTCATCCCCTGCTCCACACGGAGCAAACCGGCAGGACGGGAACACCTGGAGGCTGCTAAACCAGGAGCCCCAGTGTGGCCTGTCTGGAAGAGGTGACACCACGGAGGTAGCCACAAGACCCGCGTCCCTGCCAACCTTTAATGTCCTGGTAAAACCCAATAGCGAGCAAAGGGCAGCGGGAGCTCGGCCGGGCCCTAGGGCTTCTCCAAGTGCCGGTATTTCTTGCGCAGGATGGAAACCTGGTCCTTGAAGAGCACGGGGTCGAGGCGGAGCTGGGAGGACACCAGGGGCATGTAGCCGAACCAGCCCACTAGCTGGTCGAGGCAGTCGTGCGGCGGGGAGGAGCACGCGGCGCCGCCGGCCGCAGCCTTCACCTGGCCGGGAGCGCGTGGCAGTGAGCGACTCGCTCGGGGACACAGTGTCCGCACCGGGGAGCGCTCGGGGACGCGGTGTCCGCACCGGGGAGGGGAGAGGGACATCCCGCCATCCCCGCATCCCACCTGCTGCTCCCCGGGCTCCCTGAGCTCCTTCCGCTGGGTCACTTTGATGGGTGGCAGCTTGGTGACGGCGGCCACCAAGAGGTTCATGAGGACGTCCTCGCAGGCGGCCAGGCGGTCCACGAGCTCCCGCAGGGCCGGCGGCAGGTAGTGCGTGAAGAGGCTGTGGTAATACCTGGGGGACGAGGTGCGCCGTGAGGAGGGGGACAGGGGGGATGGCCCCGGGGGGCTGCGGGGCGCCCGGTGGCTGCGGCACCTGTGGTAGACGGCGGCGGCCGTGAGCACCATGGAGAGCTCGTTGGCGCCGGCGGCCGTGCAGCCCCAGCGCTGCCGCGCCGCGTCCCAGAAGTGGCTGCGCGCGGGGAATCCCACGATGCGCTCGGGGAAGCTGCGCCACACCACGAAGGCAAAGTCCACCTGCGGCGGCGGGGACAACGAGGTGACAGGGCTGGCGGGGGCACCGGGGGCGCCGGGCGCGGAGTCCTGCATGGGAACCACCACCACGGGCTCACCTCGCTGGTCGAGAGGCTGGTGTCCTCGTCCAGGCTCAGCACCGCGTCCGTCCGGATCTCCGGGAAGGGCAGGAAGCGCTCGCTGAGCTGCGGGACAGGAGTCCATCCAGGATGTGCTTCAGGATGGGTGCCCAGCGCTCCCTCCCGCTCCCCCGGCTCTCCCGCCCCAGGCCCCGGCTCCTCTCACTCTCGGCCTGCCGTGGATGATGGTCACAGGCACTGTGATTTGGGGCCATTTCTCAGGGGGCGGTGGCAGCTTCTCACAGCTCCACAGCACCAGGATCTGCAGGTGGGGAGGGAAAGAGAGATCCAGGATGGGGCAGGAGCGTTGCTGCCGCTGCTTGGGGGGGTCCATGTGGCCACCAGGGCTCAGCCCAGCGGAGCCCGGGAGCTGTGATGAGCGGTGCCAGGCTCAGCTCCCACTACCTGGTCACAGTACTGGGATCTGGAGACGGCCTGGATGAGCCTGAGGATGGGCTGGGAGAGGGATGTGGATGCGCTGGCGCGGATGAGAGCCGTGAACTTGTTGGAAGGGCTGGAGCCTGTGCGAGGGTTGAGAGCGTCAGGACATGTGCCGGGCAGGCCGGGCTCGGCCGGGCGCCGCGGGCCCTACCCTGCTGCAGGTAGTAGAAGGGGAAGTCTCCGCTGCGCGTGGAGAAGTCGGGCAGTGTCAGGAGGCCGCCAGGCAGCGCGTTCCAGAAGAAACGGGCACGGGAGCGGTGCGGGAAGAGCCGGTCCTTGATGATCTGCGTGCGCGGGGAGATGCGCTCAGGCCGGCACAGCCGGCAGCCACAGCAGGGCCGGGCAGCGCTCACCTCCAGCGTGGTGTGCACGATCTTGTCCACGGAGGAGAAGTAGGCGTCCCACAGGAACTGCGTCTGCTGCTGGAAGGCCAGCACGCGCTCCGGGCCGATGCGGCGCACGGCCGACGGCATCTGCGGGTGACACCAAGCGCTGCCCACCAGGCAAGCGGCTCTCCCGGGCCGCGGGGTCCCGTGCCCGGCTCCACAAGTACCTGCAGGAGGAGCCTCTCGCTGCCCACGACGGCGGCTCTGCCCCAGTCGAGCACCTCGGAGAAGGGCAGCTCCCAGCCGTCGCTCAGCAGCACGGGGATGCAGGCGGCCTGCGGCACCAGCAGCAGCGCTCGGCACCCCAGTGGGACCCATGAGGAGCCTGGGGTGCCCCCTGGTCGCCCCGCAGGGTGGGTGCAAATTGGAGACCCTCTCTCATCCCAAAGCCTCCTCTGCAGCCCGGGGCTGCTGCGTCCTGGCTGCCGCGGGGAGAGGGATGGGGGTGGCAGGAGAGGGACAGGATGGGGCTGGGGACACGGAGCGCGGGCATCGAGAGCCCCAGGTACCTGCAGTGCCTCCAGGAAGCGGAAGGAGCCCAAGCGGCGGCCGCGCGGGATGATGCAGAACGTGGAGTTGTGCAGCAGCTCCTGGTAGTCGAACCTGGGGAGAAGCGGGGCCGGGAAAGCACAGGGGTGCAGGAGGAGATGTCAAAGGCCCCGGGAGAGAAAGGGATTTGCCTGGGGTGCGAGAGGGAATGCATGGCGCAGCCAGGATGTGATGGAGAGAGGCCGAGGAGCAGCTTGCGATGCCCCATCGCCAGCCTGGCCCACATCCCGCAGGGCCGACCCAGCCCCCCAGCGCCGGGAAGGCTCCGGGCTCATCCAGGGGAGCACCGGGACACGCGGTGGCCTCGCAGGACGCTCCTGAACTGGCTCCCAGCGCGCGCTGGCGCCGTCGGTCCCGGCTTCCTCCCGGGAGCGCTCCTGGCGCTCCTGCTGCTTTCCGGGCCACAGCGCCGGCCGGGCTTCCTTGTTTTGTTATGGAGCCGTTGCCCCCCGCGCCGCGCGGCTCCCACGGCGCTTCCCTGCTTCCCTTGGAGTTTTAAAAATACCCGGGGCCGCGGCACTGCTACAAACCGCCCTTTATCCGGGCACAGAACAGGCTTGTTCAGGCGACGGGCAGGCGTGAACAAGGCTGCCCTCTTCTCCCAGCGCCGGCTTGAAGGAGGGTTCCTGTTCCCGCCGGCCGCCGCCGCGCGACCCGCTCCGGTCGCCGGGACGTCGCCGGAGCAGCGGCGCCGCGGTGCAGCGGGCGCCGCGCCAGGACGCTGCACTGCTGCCCGGGGCCCTGCGAGCGAAACCCTCTCGTCCCACCCGCCCTGCGGAGCGGAAAGAGCCTGGAAGGAACACGGGGACAAACTGGGACAAACTTCCACCACGTGCTCCCTGTGCATCCGCAGCTGGAATGCGCCCCGCGCTAAGGGGCGATCTCCCCGTCCCTGCGCGCGCCGGGGACGTGCGTGTCCCGGCCGTGAGGCCAGCGGCCCGGAGCTGCCCCGGAGCCTGGCTAATCCCTGCCGCCCGCTCCGCTTTTACCTCCCAGCACCTCCTAAGGCGCTCGGAGGCGGAGGTCAAGCGCGGCCGCCGCTCCCCGTCTGCTGCCCCCGCAGCACGGGGACGCTGCGGTCCCCACCGTGCCAGCGGCCGCTCCGGAGAGAGCGTTCACTGGATGGAGCGTTCACTGGACACACTGCGGGACCTTTAGCCGAGATGGTGGGGACGGCGCTTGCCAGGCTCCTCTCCAAGAGAAACATTGGCTTTTGGGAAGGGCAGGAGGAGGACGAAGAAAAGTGGCATTCACGGGGGCAAAGGGAAGCGGCAGCCGTGCTGGCCGCGGATCAGAGCTGCTCTCCCTGGATTACTTAATACAGAGCAGGAAAAGCCCCAAGCGAGGAGCCGGTGCCCTGCTCACCACCGGGATCAACCAGGGGCTGAGCCGTCAAAGCTCCCTGTGTCCCGGAATCCCATCCGAGGGAGGTCCAGGTCCGACCCAGCCTGCAGGACCTTCCCAGCTGGCCCACCTGCCCCGCCAGGGTTCACCCCCATCCCACCCCAGACCTACTTGTCGTAGTCCACGTTGTCGCGGTCGCAGCGCGCGTCCTTGTGCCTCTGCCAGTCCTTGCCGTGCTTGCAGGTGGTGAGGGACACGATGTCCTGGCCGTTGTGGATGTGGTGCAGAGCATTCCTGGTGCCGGAGCCGATGCCCGTGAGGTACCTCTTCCCTTTGAAGACCAGCAGGTATTTCCTCTTGGGAGGCAGTGCATGCTGGTAGAGCCAGCCTGGCTCCCCGCCGCTCTGCGGGTGATCCTTGGGGAAGAGCGGGATGGAGACATCAAAGCCAGGCCTGAAGTTCTCCGCGTAGAAGCTGGCCTTGGCCAGCATCGCCTGCCCAATGTCGAAGCCCAGCTCCTCCGTGTAATTGGGCCACGTGCCCGAGTAGAGGTTGAATATCAGGTGGTTACGGCCGCCGTTCCAGAGGGAAAAGCCCTGGATTTCCTCATCCACATTGGGGACGTACTGGGGGGAGAGGTGGTCGCGGTCGAGCGTGTCGATGCCGAGCACGAAGAGACAGGCGGCCTCGGGGTCGGCCGTGTAGTAGCGAGACCTCTCGATGGCCGCGAGGATTTTGAGGTAAGTGCCGGACACGGCGGCGCCCGGCGCTGCGGGGTACACGAACACCTTGAAGCCACGTCGCGCGCAGCGCGCGGCGTCGAAGCAGGTCTCCATGCGGCACCGGCTGCCCCTGTAGACGCGGCGGCGCGCGGCCCGCCAGGCGTGCGGGGATGGCCCCAGCGGGACCCCGCCGTCCTGCGGCTCCTCAGCGCCCGCGAAGCTCGGGAGCACGGAGCGCTCTGTCCAGCGGGGCCAGCTCCTCCGCGCCTCGGCTCTGCGCCCGGAAAAGAAGGGGAAGCGTCGCAGGCGGGCGCCTCCGAGGAGGAAAAGCAGCAGCCAAGAGGCAAGGAAAGTCAGGAAAAGGTATTTCGTCCTGGTCTGCATAGGGTCACGCGTGGCCCTGGCTCCTCATGTGGCAGCGGGCACTGGGCGGCGATGTCCGGGTGGCCGAGCGGGAGCGGGGACAGTGCCAGGCCGCTGGGTGCTGCCCCGTGTCCGTTCCGGGAGGTGGGAATGCTGGATTCGCCCTTCCAGCGTGCCCTGTGGATGGGACTCGGTTTGCCGGGCTGCACTTCCCTGGAGCGCCTCGGCCGCCCGCCCTGCTCCGCGCCGCGGATCACGCGGAGATGCAGGGAGGTTTCCGCAGCTTCGGTCCCGGGGGAGGCAGCGAGGCTGCCCGGTCGCCTTCCTGCCCCGGCCACCGGCGTCACCACGAGCGGCTCCACAGGGACCCCCCATCTCATGGAAACACTCCCCCCCTTCGGAGCTGCTTCTGCTCCCCAGCCCGTGGGTCTTTTAGCTTTTTGGGGTTTCCCCACCCACGCCGAGCCCATTTCCTCACCTGTGGCGCTGTGCAGAGGCTCGGCTGTTGCCCCACGTGCTGTCGGCAGCACCATCGGCATCGCCAGCCACGGTGCTCCCGGGATGGCTCCCGGCTCCAGGGCTCTGAGCCGCCTCTAAGCTCCACCGCAATCCCCTCCGCGCTCCGGCCTCTCCGGCGCCAAGTTATTTCTGGATGTGGCGTTCAGGGCTGGGCCTTATGTAAGGTGACAGCACCCGGGTCCAGGGCTGACCCAGTGCCCGCCACCCCCCGGGCCTTCCTCATCACCCTCCTCCTCCTGCCGTGAATGCCCAGGCAGGCGCCTCTGCCTCCTTGTCGCCCTGCCTGCCTCTCTGTGCCCCCCTTGGCTGAATGTCCCCCCGTCCGTCTGTCCGCCCCCTTCCGGAGCTGTCTGCGTGTCCCCCCTGCAGTCCCTGCGCGATGTCCCCTGGCTTGTCAGTCTGTGCCCTGCTCTGTGCCCCGAGACCTGCCGCCCCAGGGGGTCACCCCCGTGCCCCCCTTCACCGTGACCCCTCCGCTCGGGTCGTTCTTTCCCTCCTGCCGCCCGGACCGTCCGGCGCTCGCCCCGTGTCCCCCCGCCCGCTCCCGCCGCCGCCCGGCCCGGCCGCGTCTGCCCCCCGCGCTCCCTTCCCACCGCGCCAACATCCCGCCCTGGCCACGCCCACGTGGCCTCCCATTGGCTGCTCCCTTCCCCTGTGGGCGTGCCCTGAGCCGCGGAGGGGGCGTGGCCCTGCTGCGGCTGGCTCTCATTGGCCGCCCGCCGGAGCCCCGCAGCGCGGCGTGGCGCGCCGCGACCCACGTGGGCCGGGGGGTTCCCCAGGGTCGAGGGGAGCCCCTCGGGGGCGGGGGGCGCGACTCCCCTCAGCAGTCCCCAAATTGGCCCCTTTCCCCCAGCTCCTGCTGCCCCCCGCCTGGTTCTCATCTGACAGCCCCCAATCCAGCCCGGGCTTCACATTCCCTCCTTCCTCATCCTCTTCCTTCCTCCTCCTCCTCCCCTCAGGGATCATCCCAGCTCTTCCTGCCCCTACCACGCTGCTCCCCCCCTGTGAGTGCCCCCGTTATCCCAGTTATCCCATTCTGGCTGTCCCCAGGGTGTTGATGCTGACCAGGTTCCCTGTCCCCTCCTCTGTCCTCCCAGTCTCGTCTCCTAGAGCCAAGTCCTTGCTCTAGGTCCTCTCCTCAATCCCCCCAGTCCTGGCTCCTAGAGCCAGGTCCTTGTGGGCCCTTTCTGCCCCCGATCACTGTGACCAGGTCCCCTGGGTCCACCCGTCTTGTCCGTGTGTCCCACACAGGCCGTGACAGCAGAACTGTCACTCCTGCTCTGCTGGGCTGAGCCCAGGGAAGTGGCCGTGGGAAGCACGAGGCCCACGAAGCTGGAGAAACCGGTCCCGTTGGAGGCAGGTTGGGACCGGCCGGCGCCCGCATCCCGCCTCCAGCTCTCCTGCCCCGGCACCTGCTTCTGGGCACTCCCATCATCCCTAGACCCCTGGCTCCGGCTGGGGGTGACATCCCGGCCCTCTGAGTCCCATGGGGAATTAATTCCCAGCCAGCGGGAGAGATCAGCCCGCATGGCACACAGGAGTATTAGGAGGCGTAAGCAGATTAAATCGTGGGAAGGGAACATTTGGATGTAGAGCAGGGAAAACAAGGAACATGGCGTGAGCTGTGGTGGTCGAGCCGCGCTGTGGGGTGCTGGGCTGTGGGCTGCTGTGGTCACCTCGGGGCCGTGCGCGGTGGCACTTGTTGGGTTCACCCCAGCACCTTTGTGTCACCTGCAGCACAGGGGATCCAGCCCCTCCATCCTCCCTGGGCTTCCCCTGGCCTCGCAACGGCAGCTCCGTGTCCCTCCTGTGCTGGGGCTGCCCCAGCGGCACAGGGAGCTGCACTCCAGCACTGGCGGCCTTGGGAGCTGTGGAGCACCAGCACCTGCTGGGAGCTGCAGCTGGGAGGGCTCCGGGAGCCCTGGGGGCACTGGGAGCCGGGGGACGGGAGCCGCTGGGAGCACTGAGAGCTGCAGGGAGCTGCAGTTGAGCGGGCAGCGCTGGTGCCGTGCCTGGCGTGTCGGGAGGGGTAGCCGGGCACCCGGGCCGTGCTGGGAACTGGGGCACCCAGAGCACAAGAGGTGCTGGGGGTTGCAGCGCCCCAGCCCAGGCGCTGCCGGGAGCTCTGGGGGAGCCGCTGTCCCCGACCATTTCAGGGGGCTCTGGTGGGTGCTCAGAGCTGGCGGCCACTTCATGGAGCCCCACACACCCCCTCGCTCACACACAGCCCCACACAGCCCCAGCTGGCCCCGCGCTGGCCCCTCGCTCACACACAGCCCTGCGCCGCCCCTCGCTCGCGCACCAGGCGCAGGAGCCGCACGGCCTCCGCAGCTGCCTCCTCCCAGCGCCGCCGGGATCCCTGGTTAGGTGCCAGGATGGAGCAGAGCGGGAGCGCCGCGAAGCGCCGGGGGCGGCCAGCTGCCCCGGCCACGCAGCCGGGCAAGGTACAGGCGGCGGAGCAGGAAGCGGGAGCGCGGGCGCCTGCCTGTGCCGCTCTGCTCCCGGCCACCCTGCGGCCCCAGCGGCTCCGTGCAGAGCGCCGGGAAGCGCCAGGGCGGCCGGCATGGGGTGGGCAGCGGCGCTGGCGCTGCCCCGGCCCGCGGGGCCGCACCATGTGGGCTGCGCCGACGTCATGGTGGGCCGCACACGCCAGGTAGGGCCGAGGGGCCGGCCAAGTGCCCCTCGCTGCTGGGGGCCCGCGGGGAGGCCTCCCGGGCGCCTGCCAGCCCCGCATCCCGTCTCTCCCGCAGGGGCTTTTCTTCCGCCTCTACTACCCCTGCGAGCCCCACGCCAGGGCCGCGCGGCCGCTCTGGATCCCGCGCGCCGAGTACTTCGAGGGCCTCGTGGACGTGGGCGGCCGCAGGCGCTGGTGGAGCGCGCCCCTGCTCAGGGCTGCCTTCAGTGAGGGCACCGCAGGGCCCGTTTGTCCCCCTGGAGCCTCGGGCAGTTTGGGGCTTTTTCCTCCCTTTTCCCAGCTCAATCCACGCATTTCTCCGCAGGCACCTTCCGCGTGCCGCTCAGCTGGAACAGCCCCTTCAAGCCCGGCAGCGCCAAGTACCCCCTGATCATCTTCTCACATGGCCTGGGCGCTTTCCGGTGAGAGGGTCGGATGCCTCGCGGCGCCGCGCGGCCCCGCTCCGGTGCGGCTGCTGCCGGGGCCGCGCGGGCACCGCCGCCACCTCGGCCTCCTCTCCCACAGCACCCTCTACTCGGCCGTGTGCGCCGAGCTCGCGTCCCGCGGCTTTGTGGTGGCGGCGCTGGAGCACAGGTGGGCCCCGCGCGCCCGCTCCGGCTCCGCTCCGGGCCCGCGGTGCTGCCCGGCCAGCGGCGCGGCCCGAGCGCCCGCCGGAGCCTCCATCCGCGTCCTCACCGCCGCAGGGACCGCTCTGCCTCCGCGACCTACTTCTGCACTGGGGAGCCCGGGGAGGCGCTGCGGGAGGAGTGGATTCCCTATGGACGGGTGCCCCCCGGAGAGAAGGAATTTTATTTCCGGAATAAGCAGGTACTGGCTTCAGGAGCAAGCCCATCTTGAGACGAGAAGCTGGGCCGGGCCTGCCCTGGTTCCAGCCTTGCTGGGTGTTGGACTTTACCCACTGCTTTGCAAGAAATGCACTTTCCCCCACGGGCAGGCAGGCTCGGAGCTGACCTGCCAGGTCCTCTGCTGATGGCAGCTTGGGGACGCAGGGGACAGCAGCTTCCAGGGCGGCTCTGGCTCTTAGTTCACAGGATGGAGGCACTGGGTTAACTGGGAGGGGCCACCTCTCGCTGCAGCTTCACCAGCGAGCGGACGAGTGCGCGCGGGGGCTCCAGCTCTTCGAGGACATCAGCCGCGGGCAGGTGGTCCCCAACGTCCTGCACGGGGCCTTCGACCTGTCCGTGCTGCAGGTGCGGGGCTCTGTCCAAGCTGCGGGTGCCCCAAGCTGCAGGGTGCCGGGGAGGGCCGTGTTTTGGGGGCAGGATCAGCCCTTGCCCTCTTCTGCCCTGCTGGGGGAGCCCCAGCTTTTCCTTTCCTGCTTCGGGCCCTTCTGCAGCACGTCGGGCTCCTCTCGCCTTCTCCTTTGCGCAGGGCAGCATCGACATGACCAAAGTGGCCATCATGGGGCACTCCTTCGGGGGCGTGACAGCAGTGCTGGCCACGGTGAAGGAGCCGCGCTTCAGGTGAGGGGCTGTGGGGCCAGCAGCCCGTGCAGCCCCTGCAGCCCACACAGCCCACGCAGCCCGTGTAGCCCCTGCAGCCCGTGCAGCCCATGCAGCCCCTGCAGCCCATGCAGCTCGTGCAGCCTGTGCAGCCCATGCAGCCCCTGCAGCCCGTACAGCCTGTACAGCCTGTGCAGCCCCTGCAGCCCATGCAGCCTGTACAGCCCCTGCAGCCCGTGCAGCCCATGTAGCCCGTGCAGCCTGTGCAGACCGTGTAGCCCGTGCAGCCCCTGCAGCCCACGCAGCCCGTGTAGCCTGTGCAGCCCATGCAGCCCCTGCAGCCTGTACAGCCTGTGCAGCCCATGCAGCCCGTGCAGCCCATGCAGCCCCCCTGTCCCGCCGCAGCTGCGCCGTGGCCCTCGACGCCTGGATGTTCCCGCTGGAGCACGCGCGGTACCCGGACGTCAGCAAGCCCCTGCTCTTCATCAACAACGAGAAGTTCCAGACGCCGGAAAGCATCGCCAGGATGAAGCGGCTCCGCTCCAGGAACAGCGAGACGAAGGCCGTGACCATCCTGTGAGCGGCGGCCCCTCGGCCGCGGGCGCTCCTGGGCGCGGGGCGGACACCGCCCACCACGTAGGGAGCCCGGAGCGGGTCCCGTCCGAGCCGGGTGGCCCCTCCATAGCTCTCCCTTCCCCTCCTCAGCGGATCCGTGCACCACAGCCAGTCTGACATCACCTTCCTGACCGGGAAGTTCGAGAAGCTCATCAACCGCATCCTCACCACGAGGGGTACCCTCGACCCGCACAAGGTCTTGGGCATCACGTGCCAGGCGGCTCTGGCCTTCCTGCAAAGGCACCTCGGTAGGACGTGGGCTGCAGGACACGGTGGCCGCCGCCGCTCGGGAGCTCCCCGGTTGCAGGGGGTCCGCAGGGAGGTTGCAGGGGGTTGCAGCCTCCCTGCTGCCTGGCTTTGATGCTTCCCATCCCATACGGAGGGTGGCACAAGAGCCACATCCTGGGTTGGAGACAGGCTCCCATCTTCCAGGCCAGGCAGCTGACATTGCCTAAGGCTCCCGGGAAGTTTTGCTGCCCAAAGCAAATCCACCCAGCGGCTGCTTTTCTTCCACATGTGGGACCTGGCCGGTCTGGTAAGTGGTGGGATAACCCTGTGATCTCTGCCCTGTCCAGACCTGAACGAGGACTTTGATCAGTGGGACCCACTCCTTGATGGCATCGGTGACTCGGTCGTGGCTGATGAACCCTTGTGCCGCTCCAACCTCTAGGCCAGAGGAGTCGGCACCGGGAGAGCCCCCCTTTCTCCCACCCGTATCCAACCTCCAAAGAGCGGGAGGTTCCAGGGAGGAGCTGGGCCAGGGCCCGGTGCCTGTGGGACGCTGGCACTGGCATCTCGTTGCCGCAGAGCTCACCAGGGGTGCCGGGAACCCCAGAGCTCACAATGGGGCTGCCCTGTGCCACGGGAGCTAACTGTGGAGCAAAGGGAATAAAGTCCCTGCAGGCAAGCAAAAACTGAACGGATTGCTGACTTCAAGCCCAAAATTTGAGGGAAGGGAAAGGTTTTAAGCAAGAGTCTTCCTGGAAGTGTCCAGGGGAGTGAGATCAGCTCTAGGGACAGCAGGGACAGGGCCCAGTGCGGTGGCAGAGCGTGGAGAGCAGCAGTGCTGCACGGAGGCTGCTGCCACCGGCACCTGCTGGTGATGGAAATGAAATGCTGCAGAAGCCGCTATAACACATTCCTGGGTAACGTCGGCAATATCAGCGCAAGGAGGGCTCTGCAGGCAGGGTGTGATCCTCAGCTGTCACCAAGCAGCACAGCAGCACTGGGGCCCGTGGAGCTGCTCCGATTCCCTCCCCATGGCCCCACTCCAGCTTTCCCTGGGGCGCTGCAGCGGGAGAGGCGGCAGGCACTCCTGGCCATGCTGCTTCGGCAGCTGCTCTAAATCCTCGGGATCACGGCACGCCATCTGCTTCCCCATTGTGCCTTCCCACTCCGGCACGGCGTTCCTGCCGGGAGACGTGCCGGGTGACGGCAGCGTCAGCCCTCGCTTTGCTTGGCGGCTCCTGCGCGCGCCGCCTGTCACCTCCAGCGCTGCCGGGGCCGCTCCGAGCAGCGGCGCTCGGAGCCGCGCGGAGGCAGCGTCCCCTCAGGCCGGGTTTGCCTGGGTCTGGCTGCTCCTCGGCTGGTGGCAGCAGGTGACGGGGATCCCAAAGCGCTTCTCCTGGAAAGGGGATGGAAAAGCACCGGCTCTCACGCTCTCCCAGCACATGCGCTGCAGCTGCAACAGCCTCCTCAGCACCTCGCCGCAGAGCCCAGCGCCAGAGCCCTCACACAGGCTGCTCCAAGGCCTCAAGCCCCCAGTGTTTCTGAGTCTTCCAGACTTCCTAACCTGATTTCCCGCTCCCTCTAAAGCACGGCTGCTGTGCGCTAGGTGAGGGCGCCTTGGGCTGCGACGCTGAGGCTGCGCAGGGGACATTCAAGGTCAGCGTGCGCAGCGTGGGAACGCTGCGGGGTGCGGAGCTGGCGAGCAGGAACCGCCACTCCATCCCTCCGTAACACCAAGAGACAGTGACTGGTGCAGAAATCAAATCCCATTTCGTCCTCGGATTCGTGCTGCCCGCGATCCGTTCTGACAGCTACACGGCAGCCACTCACGCCCGCATGGCTCTAGTGCAGCTCAGTTGAGGAAGTCCATAAATTCTGCAAGACTCTTATGTAAAGGCTTTTGGGAAGTGGGGAAGGGAGGGAATCAGCCTGTGGTTTGCTCAGGGAGTGACTTGGGAAAACGTTAACCCTTCGGTTGTCAGAAAGCTGCGTCTGCCATTCTGGGTGCACATGGGCCTGGGGGACAGATGTCCTTCTGCCTGGCCATGCACCCTGCTCCCCTTTCCAACGCCAGCCTTGAGCACCCGCGACCGTGTTCCCAGTTCCCTGTGTGGAATTTCCTCTGCCACAGTCGGCATCTTGAAGGATAGTACGGGACCACCATGATCGAGCTCCTCGTCACAGTGCTTTGCTCCCCTTACAACGACGAGGTTCAGATTCGGATGCGCAACAGCTGGGTGTGAAATCCATGTGTTCCCAGCATCTGGAAGGACATTGCCCAGGAGCCTGGGGTGGAAATAACCACCTTGGCAGCACCTTGGCCACCCACCTGTGGCTCTGGAGCGGGCCCTCCCTGCCCTGCAGCATCGTGACTTGGCAAGGGGGACCTTCCAGACGAGCTTCGCAGCGTGACCAGCTTTAACATGCAGACGGGTGGCTTTGAAAACAGACAAGTGAACCGAAAACTGCCCATTGAGATTCCCCTCACAGCCACGCTTTGCATCATGGCCGGGGTGCCCCCCAAACCCGTCTCATCTCCATGGAGCCCCTGCCGTGCGCCGGCCCCCCTCAGCTCCAAAGGCACCACCAGGAGCTGAAACCCCGAATCTGAAAACAACTTAAAGCTGAGAGTTTTAACCCCATGGTGGAAACACAGTAGGGTTTGTTGTGATTTTTGGTTGACATCCCTGCACCCCCCGCAGCTCCCGACCATCTGCCGCAGGCGAGCGCCCAAGATGGCCGCAGCGGGGACCAGGCCTGGCGCGGTCGCCATGGCGACAGACAGGCCGCAGCTGCTGCCCTGCCGGGGAGGCCTCCTCATGGCCGCCCTCCTCATGGCCGCCCTCTGTCACCCGCGGCCGGCCCGTGACAGAGGCCTCGTCATGGCCACCATCACCTGCAGCCGGCCTGTGACAGAGGTCTCCTCATGGCCGTTGTCACCCGTGGCCGGCCCGTGACAAAGGTCTCGTCATGGCCGCCCTCCTCATGGCCGCCGTCACCTGCGGCCGGCCCGTGACAGAGGCCTTGTCGTGGCCGCTGTCACCCACAGCTGGCCCGTGACAGAGGCCTCGTCATGGCCATGCCCCCAGTGCGCCGTGGCGGGGACCTGGTGGCGCCCTCGGAGCCGCGGCGCCGCGTGGCTGCGTCCCCTCACCTCCGTGGGGGCCATGGAGCCCTGCGCCTTTGCCTGTTCTTGCAGCCGCCCTGGGTGCCTCTGTTATTGTTTATTCATCTATTAGGGACTCAAATTAGGGAGAAAAAAATCAAAAAATAACAAGACCCAACGGCATGAGGCCAATGCAGGCGTTGCTTCTGGCCCGAGCAAATACAGACCAGGGTGAAGAGCCGGAGCAAGGCTCTTCAGGTGGACAAATCCCACCCTGGATTAACCCGTTTCCATATGGATTTATCAGGGGCACTGGGAGGGGAATGGCTCGTTTTCCCAAAAGCACACACGATAAAATCTGCTCCATTACAAGTGCATTCCCCTGGTTTTCTTGACCCAGAGGAAGCCGTGCACCTTTAAAAGGATTTCCAGCCTCCAACTCCTCCCCTCATGACACTTTCAAGCCTCATTTTGCCTTCAAAGGGTGTCAGTATTTTAACCATATCCTGCCAGGGAATTATCAATTGCACAATAGGTTGGCTGAGCCACCCTCCTTGTTTTAAATTCCAGAAGCTAGTTAGGAGCTGGGGAATAATTAGCACTGTGCCCAGCTTGGCTTCTCCCTGCTTTATCTGCAAAGCGTTGGAGCAAATGTCTTCACTAGCATCTTCTATTGCTGCTGAATATTTCATGGCTTCTCTGTGCATCGCTATTCCATGCGGTTGTCAAAATCACGTTGTCTCCTTTGCTCGCTCCCAGGTGGAATGGCTGCCTCCGACATGCTGGAAATCTAATTAGTGCAGCTCGTGTCAGCTCACACACAGGAAAATAAAACCCCGCTCTTAGTTCTGCTTTCCGTGGCATCGCTGGGTGATGCGGCTCTGTGCAGCGTGGTTATTTTTGAACCCTCAGCAGATAGTTATTTACGAGCAACTGTGAACAGCAAAGTTCTTGGTGCGCCATATGGGGAATCTATATGAGGACGCAGCCTGGGAACAGGCAGGGAAATGCAGCAAGGATGCAGAGAAATGGGTCCAGACTTTCCGTTGCATTTGGGAGGCGTGAGAGCAAGAAGGGAAAAAAAAAAAAAAAGGAGACCTGCTGGCTATTCAATGCATATCCATGCATACTCAACGCACATTTCTGAATGTAGTGGAGGTGAGAGCCAGAATTCACATGGGCCTGTTCTTATCTATATATACGCATATTTGGTAGGTGGTTGCAGAACAGCCCAACAGCGGACAAGAGTCTTGCAGGATTTGCTGCTGTCATGAATAAAACGAGCAGCTCTGAAGTGTCACCCACTGCTGGAGGGTTGCGAGAGCTCCAACCGGTGTGAAGGCTCTGGTCTCTAATAATAGTTCAGCTTGTGCTGCAGCTTCTTCCTCGTTCCTGCCTCTCCCAGCCATCTGTTTTCAAGAAACTTCTAGGAATTTATGCCACTGAGATCTTATCCAAATTTATCACATGGGGCAGAGCCAAGCGAGCCAAGCCATAAGCTGCGGAGGGGGAGGTGGCTATGCAGAGATACAGGAGTAATTTGATAATGTAAAGCCTCGTTTTTGTGGGAAACAAAGACTGAAAAACAATCCCAGATCTACAAACCGACTGGGAAGGGAACTGAGTTGTCCCTCCGCCCTGGTTGAAAGTGAAGGCAGAGCCTGATCTTTAGGATTACAAAGACTAGACCTCTATTTAGCGTCTTGCCAGCACTTACCACCCTGGTATCTGGGTATCACACAATACGGGCATGTGGTTGCAAATTAAGAGACGAGTACGCCATTTCATTATTATATTGCCCCAATATCAAAGCAGTTAATTTATATTTTATCTTTTCATCTCTCTTCCTGCAGGCACAATTGCCATCTGTGGTGAAGGCTTGTACTACTGCATTTTACGGAGGAATTAAGTAAGTTTTCGAGTGAATTTTTCAAAACAAAGCCAACTAGAAGCCAGGCATTTTGTCTGATTTGAAAAAAAAAAGTCATTTCCAACAGTATGTCGGCAAGTGCAAACCTGTTCAAAAGGGAACATCTTAACGCTGTTTTTCAGCATAAATATAGTATCAGCCCAAGTCCCCAGTAAACAGATATCAATCACCTGAATTATTTCTTGCCTATGGAAGAACTTTCACTGTGAGGGTGTCACTCCTTAAAAGTCTAGCTTTATTCTTCATTTCCGTGGGCTCACAGACTGCTTTTGGACTAAAATGTATTTTTATCCAAAGATCTACGGGAGCTTTGCAGACTCTCATTTCTCCTGCAAGGGCTGGATTGGGTAAACTGCAGTATAGACACAGATGAAGGTTAATACAAAGAATTTCAAACACAGGTGGAAAGAAATCTTATATTCCTTGTCCTGACTCCTGTATGCAAATTTATTTTAAATAAATTTTGTCTCCTATGGCAGGTTATTTATTAGTAAATTACAGTTAAAATGCTTGACTCAGATCAAATAGTATATCAGATTTCTAGTTGCAAAATGAACTTTACTAATCCACGGACTGTTACCAGGCTCAGAA